GCTATGACTGCAAGAGACAGAAATCCAAGGATGCCACACAACCCGATCGACCAGAGGATACCGAGTGGTACAGCACGTGTGGCATGAGTAGCCTCCTCGCTCATATGAACGCAGGAATCAAAGGCGCCAATGGTCCAGATAGGCGACAGCCAGGCAAGCATGAACGCCCAGCCCGCTGGCCATGTGGTCAAGTTATCAATATGCCCGAAGACATAGGAACCCGAGTTGACCGGTCCGCCGTTCATCGCCTTGCCAATCGGGAGCGCAATCACTGTTGCTACCACAAGCCCGATATTGCTGACGATGCAGAGCGTCTGGATCTTCGGCATGATGCGCGCAAAGAACGTGGTGATCAACCCGTGTACAACGACACAAGCGACGTATGTGGCATACACGACTGGGCGGGACGCTGTCCACTCCCCATCGCGGGCAATGGAAATGAGCGAGAGCAACATGGTTGCAAACCCATCTACATCCTGCGTGTCAGCATATGCCTCAGTCACCACCGGACTGGGGGAGGCTCCACGCACAATCGATCGAGCAGACACCACCCACAAGGCCGATGGTATTGCTGTATCCAACGACAAAACTCAGCGGGTTCTTCCATTTCTCGTCGCTGAAATAATGCGTCCAGAAATAAAGACCGCCAGCGGTGGGCATCGCGGATGCCAAATCAGCCTATGAAAAAAGGGACAATCAGTCCCGGACAATCAAGCTTGTAGACAGTCGAATCACGAACCATAGCCAGGCCAACGATAAAGATGAACACGCTTGCAACGAGCCATCCTATAGAGGGAGTCAACGCCGCTGATCGAATGCATCCACAGACAGTGCCCAAAGTTCTTACCCTGTCACCGGTCAGCAGAGACACTTCAATTCCACACTACAACTCATAGAAATAGTTTACCCAAACCATGCCCACCGGGCCCGCAGGCAACGTGAACGACAAGGTAGATGCAATGGAGGGTAACAATCCCATGATGCTGAACGCAACCGCGAAGATCTGGGTAGTAGAGTAGTGTCGTCGAAGTTCCTGCTTGTATCCCAGCGTCGCTGGAAGGATCAATATCCCATCAGCATATTCTCATTGTGGATGATACACCATGCCACACACCGAGTAACTCCATGTCGCCAGGCTCAACGGCGATATCAGGATCGACTGTCTGCGCAGCCTTGGACTTGATGTCCATAGCTTGAGTCTTTTCCGCCATGGCTTTGTGAATGAAGTGAGATAGAAGTCAACAATACGAGGGGACCATGAAGCTGTATATTAGCAAGAAAGGCCATCGAAGTTTAATCCATCACGTAGGTGTATCTATATACAATATCCATCTGGATATGCATACGACCGACGGTAGAGATACGAGAGATTGAGTTCTGATAAGGAGGGGTGTACATCCTATGATCCCTTGCATGGGGGGTAGTATTCACCAATGTCTGATAAGGAGTATTCATCATCTCAGCCATAATGTCGTCGTCATATCTTCCTCTCCTGAGCGGGGTTCAACAGCTGAGCTAAAGGCACGGGAAGCCAAGGGAACCAATCTGAGCAACTCGATGCTTGTGTTACTGTGTTAGTGGCGATGGCCGGATTCTGATATCAATTAGAGGTTGCCTATCGCGAGCGAAACAATCTGACACGGAGAGCGCATCCAATCTCGGCGCTTCATGGCGCTGATAAGAGCCTAGAGGGTGCGTTAGCTCGGAAACTTGAAGATGGCTTGAGTTGATGATGAGGAGAAAAGCCAAAGTCAGCGCGACTTGCCTATTCGGAACTGGTCGCCAGTCTTCGGAGGCTCAGCGCTGCCATGCTTATCTGTACTGTACGTTCAATAATATCATGATAGGATTGATGATATGGTCTACTCCATACAAGAAGTCTATCTCAAGGACTGAAGGGGACAAAGAGGGAAGCCAGGGCCCCTCTACTTTCAAATATCTATTGCATCTAAACCGCAAACCCTCCCTTCAGGGTTCCAGACCCAAAACAGATGCACAATATGAAGCCACGGGCGTGAATGGGGCCCAGTTCCAATATACAACACGAACTGAGCCGAGCTCCTACCATCTATGAGCAGGCCGAGACTGCAGAATCACAAACAAAGAAGAATCGGATGAAGTGAAACACCGGAAATTCCGATAACAAAACATTAAGTATACATAACATCGTGGCTCAAACGGCACCTGGACCCTTGTGATTTGACTGATCTAGAAGCAACCGCGGCTTGATAAAGTCCTCGTCCAACTGTCGGAACCAGGCAGCATGATCGCCAGATGGTCCACCCGAGAACAGATCACGAAGAGCTTCCCTGGCACTCAGTCCTGTCTCTCTCCTTGCGGGTGAGGCTCCGCTCGAAGGAGCAGCTTGTGAAGGCATCAGATTCTGTGCCTGTGACGGTGACCGCCGCATTCTAGAAGCCGCAGTGGGCGCAGAGGGCGGTAGATCATCGTCAGATGCACCGTCGTCAATATCCAAATCAAATGAATCAACTTGGTCCGGCTCTGACGCCCCTCGGCCGCGCCCCACGGCTCTCAGACCAAATTCATCCTCACTAGCAGCACTGCTATCGCTGTGCATTCCAGCCCCGTTCCCGAGAAGCGTGGCCGTCGATGATCTATCGCGCGCATCCTTGGAACTGTAGGCGTTGGAATACATCCGTGCATGGCCCCGAGTCGACGGGGGTGGGCTAGGACGGCGGTTGTTGCCACTGGAATAGCTGCCTGTCCTCTCACCGAGACCTGCTCGCTGTATCCCGTCCAGAGGAATGGTAGAATCCGTGCGCCGGGGAGTATATCCCAGGCCGGTGTCGGACCGCTTGTAATAGGTGCCCCCATGGGTGACCTCGATGTCGAATTCATCGTCGGATTCAATCTCCTCGACCACGCCGGTCCGAATCCCAAGGATCTCCAGCATGCGAGCAGTCGTGCCTCCGAAGATGATGACGGTCAACACGACGACAACCAGGACAGTGGCACGCAACGCCGGCGCGTTCACCCCTGTAAGCCCCGCGGCCAGCGCAACCCCCACAGCTCCGCGCAGGCCTGCCCAGAATAGCATTGCTTGATGGGCGAAGGGCAGCTCGTCCGCGACTTCCAACCCGTGACGGCGTGCCCTGTACCGGATGAACCAATTTATCGCCTTCGACAGTGGGAACACTGCCAGATATCGGGCAAGACAGATGCCAAATACGGCGACCAGAATGAATAGAGGCTTAAACTGTAAATTCGTTTCGACGAACAAATCTAGGCCCAAATAGATGAAGATGAAATTCTCCGACAATTGTGCCATGACCTGGAAGAGATATTTGGTGGTCAACTGTGTCCGTCGCGACATGTTGTAGTAGGCGTAGTGTTTCATTGTGATACCACAAAACAGAAGAGAGACGATGCCTAAGGCTGTCAGTTACCAGGACGCTGGAGAAAGTCGCAAAGACACTCACCGGATAGGTGGACACCGTTCGAAAAGAAGTAGCTGGCATATGCGATGAGGACAATCAAGCAGCTTTCGATTTTAGGCATGCGACGAACGTGCGTGTATTTCAGCCCCAGCGCGGTCATGATTCCGACAATCATGCCCACCACCATACTACCAAAGAAGACAAGCAGGAAGAGTCCGATAGCTTCAAAGAGATTGAGGATCGTCAGCGAGCCAGCATCGCTTTCCGCATATTTCTGCGCTGTCTCGAACAAGACAATGGCAATGGCATCGTTCAAAATCGACTCGCCAAAAATGACCGTGTAAAGCTTGGGCTCGACTTTGTAGATGTTGAAAATGGCCAAGATCGTCACCGGATCCGTCGCGGAGAGCGTGGCCCCCACAGATATAGCCTCGACGAACGAGATGTTCAGACCATCCAACGGGATCCGTGTCCAGATGAAGAGCACCAAGCCCAGCACAATCGCGGAGATGAACGTCCCGGCAAAAGCAAAGGTGAGTATAGTGCCGATGTTGCGAAAGAAATTTGCCTGGTGTAACTCGTAGCCTGAGGCCAAAATGATAGGAGGAAGGAGGAGGTTGAAAAAGAACTGATAGTCGAAAGTGACGCTGTCTTGTATAGGCGACTCGGGACTCAACCGGATAATCAACCCCACAAACATACCTATGATAATGCGCATGAGCGACCGCCGACCTTATGGAAGAGGCATAGCAGAGACACAGTTGAACGTACCAGCAAAGATCGACAGAACCGTTTCATGGACCGCTTGGATCTTCTTTTGTTGCAGTATATAACTCGTAAACAAGGCAAACATCAACAGCATGATCAGGATGAAAAGAGCCCAGGAGCTGAAGAACTCCTTCTTTCCGGCTTCAGGAGCATCTGGAATAGTTCATCAGCAACAGACACCAGAGGTTTCTGAATACAAAAGATCAACGCGCGTACCATCATCGGGCTCGTCCGAGTCGGCGGCTCTGCCTACAGAACAAAGACAACAGGTTAGCCACGGCACTATCACTGTGACATGATCCATAACAAAACTGTTTCGCGTCAAATGACAGCAAATGATTCATAGGGGCAGATAATCAAAGCAGCAATAGAGGACGTACGAATCAGCTGGTGAAGGACGTCGCCCATCAGTTGGCTCGCCATTATGAAGTGCACACAACCACCAAGCGGTTAACCCCAGCTGCGAGTCTCTGACGCCAAACCAAGGCGCACATAATAATAACTGACAGATGCAGTGCAAGAAGGACAAACCACAAACGAAACGGAGTATTAGTGGCAAGGTGGAATGATGCGATGGGAAGATAGATGGAGCAGGTAAAGTAAAGTACCCTTGGTTTGGGGACAGATAGCCGTCAAATGTTGGAGACGTCCCGCCCGCAGCCAAGACCGATATCCAAAGACTTGTCGGAGACCGCACCCCCCTATCATTAACATCTCAAAACTTGTATATTTGGTCTTGGATAAAGAGGATTTGTAACCAAAAATGAGATTTATAGTGCAATGTACCTATATATGGAGACAAATACCCGACTACGAGATCATGGAACATTCAATTTACACCGTGCGATCCCCAAGGCGACTGGCCAGCCAGGCCGCAACTAAAGCAGCACATCCTCCAAATCTAAGCACCCATCCAACACTGTCATCCCAGGGCTCTCCCCTAGGCTTCTGGAAGGCCTTGAAAATAGCGCTACTAATCAAGCTTGAAAAGATCTGGGGCGCAGACACTGCCACGTTATGGAGTCCGAGAATGATGCCCGCTTGTGCAAGATTCTCCTCCTCGTCCTTGACCTTGGCGCGTCGCGGTCGAGCACCGTTCTCTAGATCTTCGTCGTAATCAGCACCATCACCGTGGTCACCAGCGACATTCGTAGCGGTATAAGGTTCAGGAGGTACTTCCATCTCTGCCTGATGCCGCCGAGTCCGACGCTCCGCATCAATGCGGGACACCTCTGCGGAGATCAGGGCGAAGGGAGCCCATAGAGTCAAGGCCCACGAAATGCCCACAAGTCCAATAACCGCTGATCCAGCCTGATAAGAGGAGATAAAGAAGGTGCTGAACATGCAGACCGCGAACAGGACGTGAGAGATAAGCCATGCCCGGCGCAGCGTCAGCCCAGGTATCTGCAGCTTCGATAACCATGTCGATTCATCCCCACTTCCAGTTGGCTTACCGCTGGGTGGTTCTAAGGCGGGTTCTGAGGCTACACCGACGGGTAGACTTGAAATTGACATCCTTCGGGATAGACAGGGTTCGTTCTCCTCTGGAGTATCCGGGTAAGGCTGCTCCGGCCTCGTGATCGGCCTGTATGTCGGGACAACAAAGAGCGGCAAGATCATATTAGCAATAAACGAGATTATCGCGTAAATCAAAAGTGCAAACGTTCCAATTCGAGTTGCTTCTTCCCAAGCCTTATTAATGTCGTCTTCGGATAAGTTCGGATGCTGATCGAAGATGGGATTGACATAGAGCTGCCCTATGTATGTCGTTGCGTAGAATAGAAACGGAAACCAGCCAACCCAGGCAGCAAGCTGAACCTCGCAAACCTTGGCGATCTGCGGAGGTAGAAACTTGATTGACTTGAACACTTGCCGAAAAAAGCCAACAAGTCCTTGACTATCTGAGGAGGGTGGTCCTTCGAGCCTTGGGTCTCGCTCATGGATATAAGAACAGCTGATGCTCAGCGTGATAGCGAGCGCTAGTGAGGACAATGCACAGAGCACCTTGAACTGAGTATTTCCAAAAAACGGGAAGATTTTGGGCAGATCAAGGTATCCAAAAATGTATCCAAGGATATTGCCAACGCCAGTAAGCCGACTAGCCCAAGCGTTTGCCGATTCCTGCTGATGAGCGGGAGCATTATCGACGATGAATGCTCGAATACCTGCCTGAACTGTAGCGAGACATTACCATCCACGCGCCAACTGACGGCAGTTTATCAATCATGCACTTACCGGTGTTGATGGCGAAATCCAGACAGTACATCAAAACTGTCGCTAGAGAGATTATTGTCGTCCGAGTCCCAGCAGAGGCCGGATCGACACCAAAAATCCCGAGAAAACCTCCCACAATCTCTTGCACCCAGGCAAGCGCTAGGAGGGCCACAATGGTCGCCGCGGCACCGACGATCATGAAAGGCTTTCTTTTACCCCATGATATCCGACAGTTATCGCTCCGAATACCGATGTACGGTTGCACAAGTGTGCCGGTCAGGGGTCCCGCGATCCAGACAAAGGCAAGCAGAGCCTTGCTCATTCCAAGGGACAGAAGGTAAGGCTGCATATTTATCGAACCATCAGACACAGTCTTCGTGTAACAAAGCATCGCCTAAAAGTGAAAGCTCGACCACTTACCGATCCATTCGATAGCTCCACCGACCACACAACCTGCAAACTGAACCACAATGTCAATATCACCGCGACGTCAAAAAAGGGAGAGTCCCCTTAAAGCTATGGGGATGCACATACCCAACAATACACAGCGTCAACAAGAACAGATACCAGCTACTCTTCGTTTCCGCGAAATTCCCCGAGTGATCACCCCGGGAAACTCCATGATGCCTTTGACTGACTGTTATTGAGTCCACAACATCATCATCGTCCGTACGGTTAGGTCCCACTAGGGGAGACGTCTCGTCCGCAACGCGGTCATCCGTCCCCGACATCGATATGATATCACTGCTGCGAAATGTATGCGACAAAGCTAGGATGCCGACTTTCTCTGCGAACACAAGGCTATCCGTGCCCAAGGAGCGGAACCTCCAAAGACAGCGACGGCGGGAAAAGAAAGATAATGCTATGAATCGTGAACGGTAGTATGAGTCTGGGGTAATCCGGAGACAATAGCTTGTTATCTGGAGACAATGGAACGAGAACTATTGCAGGTTCGCTAGCATGGGAGCATGCTGGCGAAATGTTCAGGAATTACGGAATTGAACTATTTGCATCAAGATAGCCAGCAAGAAAAGAGAGCTAGTAATACCATCAATCAAAGCAAAAAGGAGGTCGCTCCTGCTGGTGATCTCGTGTCTTGTAGAATCGGACCGACGTCAGCGGACGATTCACGTGACTCAGCCCAATGATCTAGATTTGGCAACCAATTGAACCAACACAGCTGGTGAGCTGGTCGAATGATCCGCCATAGTGACCAAGAAGACCGTGCAGGATTGGCTTAGGCAGAGTTTAATCTGCAGGTGTCCAACACAAGGACATGATAAATGATATGCCATTGATATGCTGCGATCTATGTACTCATCTGATCCACTAGATCTTAAACGTAAACTCCATCTCTCAGACGGAGGTCTATGATTTGAGTTGCGGTCACATCCCAGACTGCCAAGCAGAATTGATGGTCCGAACATGATACCCCACAAAATTCCCTCAAAAGCTGTACGCCGGTTCTGACCCAGCCCGCATCGCGCATTACCTTCCGTTTCGACCTTCCAGATACCATACCAAAGGGGGATGAGAGTAATACAGACAAAACCTAACTCTCGAAACATAGCACACAATGACAAAAGAGAGAGAGACAAAAAAAAAAAAAAAAAAGAAATGTCATACATGAGAAACTGGCTGAAGTCGCGTGTCCATAGTGTCAATTCGCAAGAATCAGGCTGTATGGACAAAAGGGAAGCCAGGCCAGCGGCAACCGTGATACAGAGCCCGAATACAAACGCTAGCTGATAGGCAGTTATCGCGTGGATGAAAAACCGCACACATCAGTGCACAAATCCACATATAACTCAAAACAGAGGGCCTCCAAAAAGATTTTCGATGTGCATCATGAAAGTGATCGAAAAATTTCGAATTTGACATTTCAACTCACGCTCAAGTAGCCCGCCAGCCTGCTGCAGGTTGGGGACCACTGAGTGACGTGAGGCAGGGAATGGTGTGTCTGGCCAAGGGCCAAGCGTAGCAAGGGATGAGACACCTGGGTAAATTAGAGGATCATAGCCATATACACGCAAGTGGTCAATTTCTGCTTCAATTTCCAAGGTGGTCGCTCAGATTTGCTGCTGGAGAAGCTGAGGAGCGATCATGTGGGAAGCCATCATGCTTGGCATCGAAGAGGACAACGACATTGTCGAAGGCATCGATGTCATGCCCACGACATTGACCATAGAACTGGGCATAGCTTCGCCAGGCGATGATTCCCTGTCGGATCCAAGTTCGTTCTCCTCATTTTCAAGGTCTTCGTCGTGTGCAGGTGGTTGCTGGCCATCCTGTTGAGCTTCATGGATACGCCGATGTCTGCAAGGGGAAAATGAGACAATGTCTATAACGTAAGGCGGTGCCAATACTTACTGCGCAAGATTGTCGGAGCGGGAGAAGGCTTTATTGCAATAAGGACAGGGGTAAGGCCGCTCTTGTGTGTGGGTGCGCACATGCCTGGGCGCTTAAGTGTTAGTCGGCGGCTACAGCAATGAGGGCAGAGGAACACCCTGCAGACAGTCCCAGAGGAGCTGTCGAATAGACAGCGATTTGGAGATTAAAATACGCAACTCACCGTTTGAGATGTTCCAATCGCTTGAAAAGCCGCCCGCACGATGGAATCGGACACGAATGAGACTTCTGAGGATATGGTCCTAGCTCCATCATTGTAGCGCTTCGAGCGCGGCGAACGGGGCCAGGAGCGAATCGCTCCAATTTATTTGAAACACTGTTCTGCACAGCTGCTTCATACGCTTCCCCATTGGGAAGCGTGACCAGGTCATCCTGATGGCCCGTCATCTGAGGGTTCGACTCAGGATTTTCCTCGACATTTGAGAGCGGGGTACCGTTGCGGGACATCTCGTGCAGCAAATTTCTTTGTGGAAGAACTGCAGGAGCATATCCGTTTGCGAGATGATTGGAAGCTTCGTGTGTTTCCTCCCCTTCTGCTGCCGGCGCTACAGAATTTGAGACGGAACGTCGGAGATCACTCGGCCTATGGGCGGCATACGCAATCTGCTGAGATGGTGCGGATGTCGTTTGGGCGTGCCCATTAGCCGCGACACTCGGTGGGATTGAAGAGCGACGACGGCGTTGCTTGTACGTTGGAGACCCCTCAATCACCGAATATACGTTCGAATGGTATGTCCTGGCAGGCATCGGGTACGGAGCGCTTGCTAGATTTGAAGGCGGTAGCTGCATCATAGGATTGAAGGCGGCTGCAGAAGTAATGTCAGGAATCGCAGTGTAGAGACCAGTGTCCTCGTTTGCGATATAAGCCGGTTCGGGCCCAAGTGGAACGCTGTGCTGTGGTGGGGTGACGGGTTCGAACGATAAGCCGCGGTTGCTGTAGTCTTCGTACTGTGAGGAAACAAAGGACGGTGCGGGCGAATACTCGACAACAAAACTAGGCATGGAAGCATGCCGCTGGTGTATGCGAATCGGGATGCCATTGCGATCATATTGGATCTGCCCGTAGTCGGGCTCGCGCTTAATTATGGCCTGGGTCAGGGGATGAGCCATGGGCATCGTACTGTACATCGCCTGATTGCCAGCATCGTCTTGGAGAACTGGCATCGCCGGAGGAGCCATCTGGGGAGCCATCTGGGGAGGAGGCATTGCGTCAACAGTCCGAACAATTGGGGAGTTGGACTGGCCAAAAGTCGTACCCGCGTGAAAGGATGATGAATTTGCTTGTTGTGCCTTTGTCAGTTGCTCATACAACGACTGCGACGAGTCAAATTCAAACGACAAGGCCGGCTCGCTGACCGCAAGAGTGGTCGCCTCCTGCCCCATCTTCTCCCTCTTCAGGTCACGTTCCAGCGCATCGAGGAATAGCCTATCGTGTGGCACGCTGTACCAGTAGAAGACCTTCTGCTTCTTCTGTGTCCTGATGCAGTTGTTCTTATAGAGAAAATCGAGAAAGGGGCTTTTGGGCTCTTCAAGTGTCGCATCGGTGCCGGCTTTCAGATTTCGAAGGTCGGAGAAAATACCCTCCTCAAACTTCTTCGAGTTTTTGACCGGACGGCCAAAGGCTTGAAAACGAAAGGCGAGGCATCGGACGATATCAGTGCCGGAGATGTGGAACAGATTGTTCCTGCCACTAATCAGCCTACCAAATCCACCTTTCTAGCTTTTGGGAACTCGGCAATCTAGACTAACCAGAGAACGCAAGAAATATAATCGCCGGTGGGCAGTAGAAATCGGCGAATCAGTTGGTCCCTTGGCCAGTCTACGGGCGCCGACAGAAGGAAGTACTTCACTATTCTGTTGTCAGCGAGCGTTCAATAGTCTCACAAGTAAGAAGCAAAGGCTTCGCAAATGAAAGTAGCAGATCATCGACTTACGATTGTCAACCTGTTGAAGCGCGACTTGCGCATCGTGAGGGAGACTTTGCTGCGCTTCGTTCGACAACATAAATGTCTCCGGTTTTTGCGGGGGTGCCATTTGGGCACCATGTTGAGTATACATTTTCGCTTTTGTGAAAGCAGTAATCTGTGGATAGTCGTCAGCCGAGCGCCGGAGACTATAGGTCTGACGGCATTAGGCCCAAGGAGCCATTCATATTTGGATGAAGAATTGGTATCATGGCTTTTAGTGAAACAGACATCAAAGGAAGCGGGTATACGCACACTGAAACAACTTGCCTTAAAATGGCTCTCGACTGCAAGAGATCGATAGGAACAAAGAATACAGTTGAATAAGATCAATCAAAAATGAAAACGAGTGTGTATGAAACAATGGCCGCGGTCGAATGCGAAACGCAGCAATTATCCAGACACAGTAAAGAGAGTACCAGCCTCCCAGGACAAGGAAGAGTTGTAGGCGCTGACGATGCTATACTCGCCAACAAAGAAGGGGGGAAACACCGAGGCGGGAGTGTGATATCAGATAAAAATGAGGGCTTATGGAGAGTTGAGGTGGGCCAGCCCAATTTCAATTCTCTTTGAATGATAACTTCTCGCACGGCGAAAATGAAAGGAAAAGAAACGAAGGAGATTTGATGCGAGTTGGATGGGGAGAGGAGGGGAAAGGGGGGGAAGAAAGGGAGAGAGTAAGATGGCTGAAGAATGAGGTAGGTCTTCCAGGTCCTTTTTGACAGTGTTGTTGGATATGAGAGGAGGTGATTTCAAGCAAGACTGGCCGACTAGCGCAGTGATGGCGAATGATAGATGGTTGGAGTAATATAATAAGAATAATAACAAAGCCCGCTATTTCTGAAATAAATCAAAATAAAAAAATAAAATAGACAATTAAAAAAAAAGAGGGACAGAAAAGAAGCTAACAAATAACAACAACTAAATAAATATTTATCAGAATAATAATTATATACAAATAATGAGAATAATACTCATCGGTTTTTGGGACTTTGACAAAAAGGAGCGCCGACCGAGACCGCGGATCGAGTCGCCCAGTTGAACACTTGGTTAGGTACTTGGGGCCCCTTCTGGTGGACACGCCATCAAAAAACAGCAGGGCTTCCAGGCGTAATCTCACGGATAGCTCCATCAAGGTACGGTAGGTAGGGGAAAATGGAGACAGGCGCCAGGGACTGTCCAATTGTCTACAAACTGAACAATAGATGGAGCCTTTCCAGCATCAATACGTGGTACGTTACGGCCTAATTACTGTTTACCATACTGCATCTTACCTAATTGGGAATATTGATCCACTACACACATGGAAAGATCCACTAATTCCGGCTGAATATAGAAACAAGTTGAGAGATTCTTGG